TTGATAGAAAGAAAATTGTGGCCTTTACAGCCAACACTTTTGGCCAAACACTTTGGTAAAGTTGAATCACTGGATGTGAACAGTATGAACTTTGAATTATTTCATCCCGTTACGATTTCATTCAAAAGAACCAAGCAGACAACTATAGGTGTTCCTAAATGCACATGGAATGCTAAGTTCAGAGAACAGACATTATTAATTATAGTAGATAAGTTACTATTCATCCTATATGGTTAGACTGGAATACTGTAAATGCTGGAAGTGGTGTTCTTGTCATACTATAAGACAGGGGTAGCAAACTCAAGGCCTGGGGGGATCCGGCCCACAGGGTACTTAGATCTGGCCCATGGTCCTGCCCTGGAAATAGCAAAGGATCAGCTTGTGGTGCCTTTACCAGCAAAAACGGAGCTCGGGAGGGCTGTGTATGGCCCTCCCAACTCTGTTTTCACTGGCAGAGGGTTGCAGGAGGCTGTCGTAGCTGAAAATGGAGCTTGTGAGCCCGTTTTCTCTGGCAGAGCGCTCAGGCCACCACAGGTGTCCCCGACATGGGTGATGTCGAGAGCCATGCCCACCCCAGCCCCCCAAGTTCAAACACAACCCTCAATGAAATCGAGTTTGACACCCCTGCTATAGGAGAATCAAGTAGATAAGCAAATCATCATCACTGCCCCTTCCTCTTGTTGCTTATCAATATATGAAGGTAAGCATCAGACAAAAACTGAGAATCCTGTGGCAAACGGGGAAGTGTTGGAGATCAAAACGAGCAGAACAGAACAGAACACAACAGGAAGGGACCTTGGTGGTCTTCCAGTCCAACCCCCTGCCTAGGCAGGAAACCATTTCAGACAAATGGTGATCCAATCTCTTCTTAAAAACTTCCAGTGTTGGAGCATTCACAACTTCTGGAGGCAAGTTGTTCCACTGGTTAATTGTTCTAATTGTCAGGAAATGTCTCCTTAGTTCTAGGTTGCTTCTCTCTTTGATTAGTTTCCACCCAGTGCTTCTTGTTCTACCCTCAGGTGCTTTGGAGAATAGCTTGACTCCCTCTTCTTTGTGGCAGCCCTTGAGATATTGGGACACTGCTATCACACCACCCCTAGTCCTTCTTTTCATTTCTTATGCATGTATAGCCCTGGATATAAAAGCCTCGTCTCCATAGTTATTGCAGATGCTTAGGTTATTGTGGTTGACAGTGGAGGTTCAGGAGACGAGAGGTGGATGTCTTGAAAAAACATTCAGAACTGTGCAAGGAAGAGACATTGCAAACCATTTGATGGTGCAGACGCTGTCTCTTCACCTTTTTCATTTCAAATACTGCCTGTTGTGGCTTTTGCTTACGCGGTGCTGTTTCATATTTCACCTCTTGAAGCCTTGTGAAAAAGGAAGAAGTAAATAAAAGTTTTAGGAAGGAAAAGTAACAGAAGGTCCTCCAGTTCGTGTCTGGCACACAAGATTTATTGGAATGGGTAGAGGTGAAAGGAAACACTTGTTAAATGAAAACAATACATTTGTATTAACAGCAAACATCCCAAGATTCATTATCTATAAAAATGATTATGTGTTATCTGGGATTTTACCGTATCTTGCATCAGGTCCCCATTGAAAGTTATCCTGAATAATTTAAAGGTTCCATTAAATGATTTCTTATATTTTGATTCCAAAATGTCAGAAAGTATTTCTTATTTGTTTTCTTCTGTGTCTAATTTTGCTCTTCCGCTCTTCCTAGTCATTCAAGTTTGTAGCGTTAAGCAATTTATATCTGTCATCATTTGAGTTATTCAAAACAACTGGGAACAGATGTAGGAATGTGGCTATCTAGATTGATAAACCATAAAGAGCTCTCACTTTTACTTTGGGGAGGGGGCTAGTTCACTAAAATGAGGAATGCTTCTTCCAATATCTTTTACCTCTCTCTTTATACCCCTTTGAAATATACAATAAGAAGATTATTTCCTTCCGTCTCCTTTAGGGTAGAAGAAAGGATTCTTATCTACATTTTATCAAAGTGTGTGCAAGTATGGATTATAGGTGGAACATAAAAATGCATCTTATGAATGAGTGGAATTAAGGGGTGTGAGAAGAGCATTATCTTTCACAGGGTGGAGGGCAAGCATACCTCTGGGCCCATTATGTTCCATAAAGAAAGGACCACCACTGAGAAGTTAGTTTTTCATGGTCCCACCAGATTTTCACCCCTAATCGATGGGAACTGAAACACGCCTTGCCTTCCCAAGGTAGGTTGAATGGTGGTAGGTTGAATGGATGTAGTAGTATATGAAGCATAAGCTGTTAACATTGCTTTTATACTGGATTGGGGAGAATTTCCAGGTTTCTGAAGAATCCTTGTTCTTTTGTTAAAAATTGGGATGACAGAAGGAGATTCAAGAGCTAGGTTGAAGAAAACCGAGCTTACAATTGGTTTTTCAGATTTGTTAATAAGTAGCATTCTTTTCTAGTTACCATGGCTTTGCTGTGCTAACTTTGAGACAACATAGTTGAGGAAAGAGGAATAGAAGATACTGAGAAGAGATAGTGTGTAATCCAAAATGGTTGCATAAGGCCAGTATCTCTCAACCTTATCAACTTTTACATGAGTGGACTTCAACTCCCAGAATTGGAGTTGGCTTGGTAATTCTGTCAGTTGATGTCCACCCATGTAAAAAGTTGATAAGGTTGAGAAATACTGCATTAATGCAAAAACTGGGGAACCCTAAAAGAGCATATTCTGGTTTCTGTTCCTTGGGATGAAAGTATCCCTAATATGCTCCTGCCAGTAATCTTTTATATATATAAAAGCAAAATACCACTCATGCATCATCACAAAATCTCCAGAACCGTAAAGCCCACAAACCTGAAATTTGGCACATATGTTCCTCTTGGCTTCTAGGTGCTCACTAAGAAAGTATGTTTCGAAATGACCATGAGAGCATTAGTATTCCCTATCTGGAAGGTGCCAATTTGGAGAAGACCTAGACCAGGGGTATCAAACTTGACTTCATTGAGGGCTGCATCAAGATTGTGTATGACCTTGGGGGGCTGGGGTGGGAGTGGCCAGCTTGACATCACAGGGTGCCTGTGCTGGTCCGAGTACTCTGACTCCAAACCTCTGTTTTGGCTGCGATGGCTTCCTGCAACTGTCTGCCAATAAAAATGGAGCTGGGGAGAGCCACCTGCAGCCCTCCCAAGCTCTGTTTTCACTGACAGAAGCACTACGGGTTGGTCCTTCACTGTTTCCAGGGCAGCCACACGGGCCAGATCTAAGCACCCTGTGGGCCAAATCCTGCCCCCGGGCCTTGAGTTTGACACCCCTGACCTCTTTGTCATGGATTTTTTTGCTTTAATGGCTATTAGCAGATGCAGAAGATGGTATAGTCCATTGCTCAAGTCCATACAAGGCATGCACACATGGTTATTTCTGAAAAATGGATGGATCACACCTAAAATGGCCAGGTGTTTTAGTAGAGGTTGGAGGAAAATGGAACTTTTTGAAATTCCATGTGTCTGGAATGGATTGTTTGGCAAATGTTTGTCTTAAGAGATTTGCTATATGTATGAAAATGTCTTCTGTTTTCCCCCAAGGTTAGTTCTCCTTGTTAGCTGTCTGGGTCAACAAAATTGGCTCATTTTGCACTTACAGCTGTAAATTAGACTCCATGCAGAATGACTCCTAGCAACAGCCTCCTGTTGTGATTCTATATTTTGCTATTAAAGCTGTTAGAAATCCTGAATTCTAGTTGCATTTAAGCCAATCCTTTATTCAACCTCGTTTTCAAAAATGTGGAAAAAAGAGGGGGTAGTTGAAATGTTTTTTTCTCATGTTTTTTGTTTTTGTTTTGATTTTTGTTGTCTTTATAATAATGATATTTTCAGTTCAGTCTTCACTTTACTGTAAAGTTTTCTTTTATATATGTTTATGTGTTCCTTTCCTTTTTCTTTGTTTTCACTTTTTGTTTTTGTCGCCTACTTAATTAAACATTGCAATGATCAAAAACTCAGTTGCTTATGACCAACAATTCTTTCGATTTTGCTTTTAATGATAGACATACTTGAACATTGGCTGCAGTGGTCTTTTAAAAACAAGTTTTCTACAGTTTGCTGTATGCAGCTGAATACTCTGCAGCTTGACAAATAATAATTGCTTTGTTACTTTTATTTTTTTACCTTGTACTTACTTTCTCTCTCATTCCGTGTCTGAAAATAGGAACTTACTCCTAATGATAGAAAAACAAGCCTTTTAGATTCTAGAAATATTTCACTTCCTTTTCCATTTTCTCTGGTGTACTTTGGTCTTGCTTGTCCTGATAGAAATATCTTTCAGATGGCACTCATAAGATCTTTATGCCAAAGTGTTTCCTATCTTGAGAAATCTTCTTTGCCCTCTAAACTGGTGTGAACTGGTGTGAAAGGGTGCATTTAAGACATTGGTTTGGGTGTTGTTTTTCTCTCTGTGCTAGTGGCTGGCCCTGTCTTCTATTATCAAGGCAATCATACTTTTTCTTGAAGAATTGGCGTATTAAAATCACCTAGGCAACCTGACCAATTTGAGATAAGCAGGGCCAAAATGGATCACCCAACCAATATTCTTGAAATAAACTCCGTTGATTTTTGAACTTTCATTTAGCAATTTCATTTGGAAAACAAATTTGGATTCAGTTGTGAACTTGATCGACTGATGTGTGTGTTTGTGTGAATATTTAGCTTAAATTTTGTGAGAATCATCAATGGCAATTAGGATATTGGACCACATCCCAGTTACATGCCATCCAAAATTTCACATGTACCTTATGTAAAACTATTGGAAAAAAGAATTAACGTATCCTAAAACCATTGAAAATGAAACAGGGCTGCTTTTTTTAAAGCAGTCCCCATTTTAGAAGGCAGCCAAAATAAATCTGAGAAACCCCAGGTGTGAAATAGTGCTCTTATGAAGCATTGTTTGGATTCGGTTAAAATATCTGGTTTGGGCTCTCTTTAATTTTCTCACGTTTTGTTTTTCTCAGGATCCTGCAGGCATCTTTGAACTGGTTGAACTGGTTGGCAATGGGACTTACGGGCAAGTCTATAAGGTAAGATTACCCACCATCACATCATATGGCCCAATCACCATCCTTCCCCAGTGAAGACTTCCTCTCCGTTATGCGCAACACGACCTGAAAAAGAATGTTATTATGTCTAACTAGATATACTCCAATTTATTCCCCCCACCCCCCACTTTCCCAGGCTGAGATGTGGCAGCGTGGGAGTATCTGATCTCAATATGGCTTCCAAAGCTGATGTTTTAATTTGCTGGATCCCAACAGAGACAGCCCATATGTTTCTGAAAAGAATGAAAGATAAATCAGGAAGACAATCTTCACTAACGTAAAGATGACCTCCTTGGTTCAGAAACTCTCACAGCTTTCCAACTAGTCTGAAGAAACCTGTGGTATGAGTTATCCCTCTTCTAGTCCTTTCACCTCTATCACTTATCAGAAAACAAAGTTTGACTCTTCTGTGGTATGAGGAAAGCAGAACCTCAGGACTATCAGCTTGAGTAGCGTGAAGGTATTATCGTAGCTTTGCCAAAGTGGTAGGCTTGGTTTTAGAATATTCACCTCCATGGCCAGCCTGTTGGGATAATGAGTTTGTAATCCAATACTGATGGAGGGCATTGCATGGCAGAAGTCAGGGTTAACAACTACTCTACATGCCATCCGGTAATTTCAGTTGATAAGATGCTGAGATTGTATTTCACGTCAAATTCATGTCAATTTAATTATGAGTGCAGTTGCAACAGGGAGGATACTTTGATTGGCTTCAAGTGACAGGCTTTGTGAAACTATTAAAAGTTGTTGTTTTTTACTTTAAATTTGAGCATTTACATTGCATGAAATTATTCTTGTATGTGGTTTTGAAATTATTCTCGTATGTGGTCACTCTCTCACAGGTGAAGCATTAGCAAATTTGGAAGTGGTACAACTGAGCCTGCCATGGTTTTTTTTTTTTTTTTGTATTCCTGTATTTAACATGCATAAACATTCACTTTCTTGCTTCCCAAATCAAAGGAAAGGAAAAAAAATAGAATTAGAAATAGGAAGGAAATATTTATTCTAAAATCTGCTTTCTCTATTCTTGTGCTGCTGTGTGTGCTCATCTCTTCAATAAGCATGGTCAAAATTTCCTCTGAATCAAGACTGGAACCAAAATTTCTATATGTTTTTGGAAGTGTGAATTTCCAAAATAACACCAAACCTTTGCTAAAATTATAATCTGCCAAAAATGTTTTATTAAAAGTGATTGGCGCAGGAAATATTTATTCTGAGGAGCTCCCCCTGCCCCTTACAGTGCTGACTTTTGAAACCGTTTGTCTTGATGTGCTGAGGCTCAATGCAGAGAGAGGTCTAAATGGTTTCATTCTGTTGACGACATAGCTATGGTGTTAACCTAGTTTTAAGTATCTAGTTAGTACTAATAGCTCCTGATGGAAAATGTGACAACATCCTTTTTGAAAGCTTTAACGTTTCAAGCAAAAAGCACAATAAAAATGTTTCATAATGTTTATAGGGTGATCTTTTTATATATATATTTATTTGCCGTTTTACTTCCTGCTGGAGCTTCAACTTATCTAAGTACACTTGAAAAAGTCATTTTAAATATTAGAAGCAATGCATTTATCATTAACAAAAATGTTAAAGGGGTTGTCAAGAAGGAAATACTTGTATTTTCCCAGGTAATCTGTATTTAGGCTTCAACAACCCAGATTAATGGATGTTCAGGCAAAAAAAAAAATATGCTACAGTAATATTAAGGCCTAGCAGCCTGTTTGGATATTGAATTAAATTCAATAGTATTTCTCTGAGTTCTTTTCTGTTTCTGATGCTGTCAGGAGACATTTTGAATTCCTTTCATTTATTTGGTTATTTATTAAATTGATACAGCTGCTTATCTCACTACCATGACTTATAAGGTTGATAAGGTTACAAATTCCCAAAACAGTACAGAAACAGCTAAAAAAAATCCACAGAAATCATTAAAGAATAAAACTGTTTAAATCCATTAAAGCACAATCTGCTGGGCTCTCTGCCCCCCCAGATATCTACAAGAGGGGTTGATTTGAATTGAGCATTCTACTCCCCTCTCCTCTGTCCTATCCTAACCCAATCCTAACCCAATCCTAATCCAATCCTAATCCAATCCTATTCATGGTGCAAACTTTTTGAGCAACCATCAACTTTGAGAGGAAAGAAAAAGGAAAGTCAAAACCTGCAAAAATTAGTGGGCCACTTTTCTTTTCAAAATTCCCCCTCAAAGGGTATGGTTTTACCTTCCAAAAGCAAAGGAGGAACTGGTTGATTCTGGCTAATTTGTACATAATCTCTCTGCTTGTAAAATCAGTTACTATTTTAGCCTACCCATGGTTTTTTAGTTTTCCCACCAACATCTTGGATATAATAGAGTTGAATCTGGAGTTTAGTTTACCAGTCCATTACATGTCGCTTTGTGAGTGAGATGGGCAATAATTAAATTTTATATATAAATAGCAATAGCACTTAGACTTTATACCGCTTTGCAGTGCTTTACAGCCCTCTCTAAGTGGTTTACAGAGTCAGCCTATTGCCTGCAACAATCTGGCTCTTCATTTTACTAACCTTGAAAGGATGGAAGGCTGAGTCAACCTTGAGTCTGGTGAGATTTGAACTGCTGAATTGCAGTCAGCCGGCAGTCAGCAGAAGTAGACTGTAGAGAACTGCACTCTAACCACTGAGCCACCAAGGCTCATAAATAAATTGTTTTTTCCATTGCTGTTTTGTTAATAGATAGGGGCAAGAATATATAGAGTTGTTAATAGATAGAGGCAAGAATATACAGGAAAACTTACAACCATTCATTTAGTGACCATTTGAAGTTATAATGGCAATGAAAAGGAAGACTTAAGACTATTTTTCGCACTCATGACTATTGCAGCATCCCCATATTCCCGTGATTGAAATTTGGATGCTTGGCAACTGGCTCATATTTATGATGGTTGCAATGTCCTGAGGTCTTGTGAACATCCTTTGTGACCTTCTGAAAGGCAAAGCCAATGGGGAAGCCAAATTCACTTAATTATTATGTTACTAATTTAACAACTGCAGTGATTCACTTAACAACTGTCAAGAAAGTTCGTTAAATGGGGCAAAACTCACTTAACAACTCTGTTGCTTAGCTATGAAAATTTTGGGTTTAGTTATGGTCCTAAGTTAATGACTACCTCTAGGGAATGTAAAATTAATGTGGAGGGAGTATAGGAAACAGAAAGCTGGGTTACCATTAATGCAAGGAAGATGTAAGAAGACAGGATGTCAGATAGGAATTTAAGGAGAATGTAAGGGCTCAGAGAGGGGGGACATGGTGGCTCAGTGGCTAAGACGTTGAGCTTGTCAATTGGAAAAGTTGGCAGTTTGATGGTTCGAATCCCTAGCGCTGCATAACGGAGTGAGCTCCCGTTACTTGTCTCAGCTTCTGCCAACCTAGCAGTTCGAAAGCATGTAAAAATGCAAGTAGAAAAAGAGGGACCACTTTGGTGGGAAGTTAACAGTGTCCCATGCACCTTCGGTGTTTAGTCATGCTGACCACATGACCACGGAGATGTCGTCGGACAGTGCTGGCTCTTCAACTTTGTAATGGAGATGAGCACCGCCCCCTAGAGCGGGGAACAACTAGCACATATCTGCGAGGGGAACCTTTACCTTTAGCTTTTTAAGCACTCAGAATCAGATTAGAGACCATCAGCTTCTTTGTCATGGTACTATTCATGAGCTACAATAAAGATTTAGTCCATGCTCTGTTACATTACGTATAGCCAAGTCATTACTGCGAAGGGAAGCCTGACCTGGTTCCTGGTAAGTGAGTCATCTTCAAAAATGGATATGTAATGTAACATTTTGCTGGTGTTCAATATCTGAAAAAGGAAGGGAGAAGGCCTGTGGTAGAGTCACAGGGTTATGTCCCAATACTTCCTTTTTGCTATTTAAAGATTATGGATTCCCCTATTGCTAAAATAATAACCATTGCTTAAAAAGTAGGAGGTCTAGGTCGGTGTTTCTCAATGTGAACAAGTTTAAGATGTGCAGACTTCATCTACCAGAAGAAAGTTGAGAGACCTTGAACTAGGCCAAGAAGGATTGATTACCTGAAAACTAGGATCTATGATTAAGAAAGAATGTGAAATACTACAAACTACAGTGATTCACTTAACTTCCATGGCAAGGAAGGTCATAAAATGGGGCAAAACTCCCTTAACAATGTCTCCCTTGGCGCCAGAAATTTGGCGTTCCATTGTGGTCGTAAGTCGAGGAATACCTGTAGTTGTTGTAGCTGTGCTAAGCCATGAGTTGGTGAGTCAGTGCCCAGCTCAATGCATTCTGTGATTCTGGCTCAAGAATGAATTGTTCATAAATAGTAGAAACATCTCCTACTCTGCAGTATGTTTGACACAGGTGTATATTCTTGGCTCCCTATATAATGCAGCTTAATTTGAATGTGTTTTTATTTGAATGGGAGCACATAGGTCATGTTGTATCTCTTTCATGTGAATCTGCTGGGTTTTTATAATTTGACAATAACAAACAGGCTGTGGTGAATCTCTTTTAAGTTCTTGTCATGTTAATTTTCTAGCTTAAATTAATGCTGCTGTGGTGGTGGTGATGGTGGAGAGGGTAAAACACAAGGCTGGATTTGTTCATTGTTCGCTGCAAAAGACTTTTCACTTGCAATGGATGTTTGCATTCATATGCACGCGTTAAAGACCCACCAAACCACTGTGCCTTCTTTGAAAAATTCTGGCGTGAGTGAACCAGATCTGACCTTTTTTTTTTTTTTTTGGTGCTGCTAAAGAATCTTTTAGGGTACAAAATGTATTAATTGTAGCTAGATATGCTACAGCTAGTAATTTCTGCTTTTCTTTGTGGCAAGTGGGAGGAATTATTTAGCTTTAAAGATGGTTAGCTCAGGGCGTGCATCTGTGTTCTTTGTTTCCTCTTCCTCTGTTTTAAAAAAAATATGCCTTCTCATCTCAAGTCTTATCAGATAACGGGGCGGTCTCCTA